TAGGGCTTAGAATTCAGGGTTTAGGGTTTAGGGTTTAGGGTTTATGGTTTAGGGTTTACAGTTTAAGGTTTACAGTTTAGGGTTTAGAGTTTAGGGTTTAGGGTTTAGGGTTTAGAGTTCAGGGTTTTGGGGTGCTTCTCCCAGACCGAGCTGGCACAGGGTAACAGCAAGAAGAGGCTAGGGTTCAAGGGCCGTGTAGAACGTAAAACTGTTCGTAACACCGTCATTCTAGTCATCTGGATTTAGTGGAATTTTTCCCAAGGCGGGACGAGGCTGTGCCAGCATTTGTTGTTTTCAAACCCGTAACTACCATTTGAAGCCTCATCCAACAAATTGGCGACAACTCTCTCCGCCCTTTCACTGGTACCCTACACCCTATGAAACCCTGAACTCTATGTAAAACCTATAAGACTTCACTGATGCACTAAACCCTATACAACCCTATGAGAAGCTAAACCCTAAACCCCCACGAAACCCTAAACCCTAAACCACTACGAAACCCTAAACTTTTAAACCCCAAACCCCTAAGCAACCGACAAACCCTAAACCCCGCTCCGTTCTTTCACTGGAAGCGTCGGTATCGGCCGCAGGGTTTCAGTGGAAAATATGGCAAGGAAGCCTGACCACTTGAGCTGGGGAATGAGGGTTTAGTGGCTTGGGGTGTTAGGGTTCAGGGGTTTAGGGGTTTGGGGGGTTTGGGTTTAGGGTTTGAGGGTTTAGGGGTTAAAAGAATGCTGGCTTCAGTTGTCCAGGCTTCTGAGATACTACACCTGCTTCAAACTACTAGAACCTAAACCCTAAGCCCCTAAACCCTACCAAAGTAGGCCCCTATATTAGAGATTTAGGCTAGGGCAGTCTGCTTCTCATTCAGATTCCCCTGCTGAGCTCCCGAGAGCTCTACTGATCAGCTAGCGGTCGACTTGTGCCGACAACAAGCCGAAGGCATTGCCATCAGGCTCCACTTCCGGTTTTTCAGTTGAGCAGCGTGTGTAGGTGGTAGAGACACTGGCGATGATGATGATGATGATGATGATGATGATGATGATTACCAAAACAGATTCTAGACACATGTCGTAAATATGAGCTAGCTTATAACAATACTCACAACAATTCAATATTTATAAATGTTCAACAACCGTCGTATTACTCGAACCTCAGAGCTCGGAGGTATCGTGCATTGTGGTGAGCCCGCTGGGCAGCCGGCACTCCTCGGCAGGTTTGCCGATGGACTCGCAGAGCTTCAGGGCAAAGTAGTCGCCCGTGGTGACGGGCTCCTTTGTGGCCCGCTTGGTTAGGTCCTCTCCTTGAATCCTTACTTCCCCAAGAAGCCAGGGAAATAGAAGGTTAAACTTTCAGATTCCTACGAAGTTCTAAGAACCCAAAAAGTTCAAAGCTTGGGTATTAGAGAACTAAGAATCTCCTGCAAAGGCGTGACGAGGGCCTCATAGTCGAAGTAGGCGAAGAGGGCTGTGGAGTAGCGTGGCTTCCCTGGCTCACTGGGACGGACACGGTGGTTGGCGCTCTTGAAGAAGCCACGAGTCCAAAAGTCCACCTGGTCACCGGCATTCACGCTGAAACCCTAAACCCTATACCCTAAACCCTATACCCTAAACCCTATACCCTATACCCTAAACCCCTAANNACCCTACACCCTACACCCTAAACCACTAAACCCTAAACCCTAAAACCCAAAAGTCCACCTGGTCACCGGCATTCACGATGAAACAGTCTGGGCGGGGTGGCACCGGCAGCCACCCTTCCTCCGTCTCAATCTCCAGGCCCGGGACATCATCCGTCACCAAGACGGTGAGTGAACCCCAATCCTGGAGTCGTGTTCCGGTATTAATTTTCATTAACCACAATAAGGAAACCATACTGTTTAGTTGTTAACTATATGGTAACTTAAAATGGGTTCACGTGGTTGCTGATATAAATCCTGAATTACCCATAATAAGGAATATACCCTAATTCTCATAGTTTCGGGTCCTTATCAGGTAATGCAGGATTTATATCATCAACAGTACTGCTTACTACAGATCGTAACTTGAAACAGGCTCCTTACCCAGAGACTCCAATATCCCTCAATTAAGGAATATTCCTTAAATTATAGTAGGATCCTTAATATGATTTAAGGTATTTCCTTAATTAGGGGATATTGGAGTCTCTGGGTAGTAAGATCCTAAACCCCAAACCCTAAACCCTAAACCCAAAACCCAAAACCCTAAACCCTAAATCCTAAACCCAAAACCCTAAACCCTAAACCCTAAATCCTAAACCCTAAACCCTCTTAGTAAGATCCCAGAATCGGCATGGGCACCGGCACCCAGCTGGTCCAGGGTCGGCGCATAGCGGAGCTGCTTCACGATGACGAAAGGCCTGCAGGCAAGGTTTAGGGTTTAGGGTTTAGGGTTTAGGGTTTAGGGTTTAGGTTCATAAACCCTACCTGGACCCTATCGAACCTACCTATACGGCCTTGAGGCAAGGCGGCCACGTTCCGCGGATTGCAGGCCCACCGCATCGAAGAGGATATCGTTCAACTTGAGGTTCCTGGGCTCTTGTCAGGTTTAGGGTTTAGGGTTTAAGGTTTGGGGTTTAAGTTTGAAAGCTTGGTACACTTCTCGATTTGTGCGTGTCATTCTTGCGCAGGGCCATGCTAATCTTCTCAGGGTTTAGGGCTCCTTTAAGGGTTCCTTTAAGGGATCTATAGGGTTTATATTATTAAGGTTCCTGGGTTCGTGTTAAGGAATTAGGATTTAGGGTTTAAAGTTTAGGGTTTAGGGTATAAGGTTTAGGATTTAGGGTTTAAGGTTTAGGAGTTTAGGGTTCCTTAAGTCACAATAACAAGTTTCCCATAGTTTTAGGGTATATGGGCCGAGAACCTGGGTTTAAAGGTAAGTTACCATAATAAGTATAAGGAGAGCATGTTGTTTACTAAAGACCCCTATGAAATGAAGTTCCTTAACAAGGACCCCTCAACCCTAAACCCACAATCTTAAACTCCTAATCCCTTACTCGTAAACCGTAAACCCTATACCCTAAGCCCTCACAAGGCCCCAGGTTCAGCGCATAAAGCTCCTTGGTCCAGCGGCGCATCGTGGCCTCGTAACCCTTCACTGGAGGCCACTTGAGCCGAGACCCTTTGAGTGGGTCCTCTGGATCAAGGCCTGGGTTCTTGTTAGGGTTTACCTTAACCCACGAAAACCCACTTTTTTGTAGGGCCCCTATGAATTCCATAATCGGGTTTATGATAAGAACCTAGGCCAGGGTGGGTTTAGGCTTAGGTCTTAATCAGGGTTTAGGGTCTAACCAGGGTTTAGGGAAGGAGGGTTTAGGGTTTAATGAGGGTTTAGGGCTATGTTTGCTAGGGTTAAGATTTAAATGAGGGTTTAGGGCTCTGGGTTACCATGATCGGGATCTATAATTGAAAATGTACAGCTTCCTTATTCTACTAACTTAGGACAACCCACTAATAAAAGAGGCCTTAACAATTAGCATAGAGTGTTGGCGCCCAGTATACTATAAATACAATAAGGAACCCCAAAATAGTAGTGTTGGTAATCTCTTAGGCGATACATTAAACCCTAAACCCTAAACCCTACAACCCTAAACCCTAAAACCCCTAATACCCCTAAACCCTAAACCCTAAAATCGATTTAGGCTCCTGCTTTAACAAGAACCCAGAGGCTGGCGTTCTTTTCGAAGAGCCCGTTGGTCGAGAGCATGAAGCCCTCTTTGGTATCCAACTTCCCGCTATCCTCTCGGGGAGCTCAAGAGATAAAAGAGGAACCTTCATAGTTAGAGAAAAGGGTTCGGAGTCCGGAGGTTTTTTACAGTATGCGTATTCGTTTCGAGGCAGCAGTTTGGGAATTCCTAATGTTGAAGGGATAGAGGACGTGAAAGATACCTCGACTAGTAGGAACAATGCCCGTTGACAAACGATAACCCCAACGGAAAAATATGCAACGCTGTTTTATGGTTCGATTTTCCCAACCCCTAAACCCTAAACCCCATCTTCCTAAACCTATAACACTTTTTTCCTAAACCCTATAAGCTTATAGAACCCTATACAACATTCCTATGACCCTGTAACCCTATAACCTATGACCCTAAACAGTAACCCTAGTCTAAGACCCTAAACGCTCCCGCGTTAGGTCTCTTTGATCCTCGTCAAGGCCCTGCGATGCGAGCCAGCCGATGTCCAGGGTCGGCTCGAAAGTCAAGTTTCGCTTGTCCTCTTAGGGTTAGGGTTAGGGTTTAGGGTCCAGGGTCTCTTAGGCTGTACCACGACCACGACTACGACTACGACTGCTACTACAACGACTACTACTGGTACAAACAATTATAGTAAGCATAACAATAACAATAAGATTTATGGAAACATTTGCAGTATTCGAGGTCCCCTCTGTCTGGGACCTCCTGGCCACCAACACACAGAATCCGAGAACTAGCAATACTAATAATAACAACGGTGGTAACACTAGTGTTAAGCAATCGTCATAATAACACTCATCACGAAAAGGCTGAATCCAACAATATCAACACCAATATTGTGAGGATATCAATACCAATAGTTACTACCAGTACCTATAGGCTCCATTGTAGTTCCTTTTTGGGGTTACCTTATAGAATCCTTAATATGTAATTGGTTAAACCAAAAAAAGGAACTACAATGGAGACTATAGGTAGCATTTTCGTTATCGTAGCAGCGTTTCTGGTCCTGAGTTGGCAGCGCAAAGACAGCTTCAGCTGCCCCAAACTGCTCCCGCACCAGCGATGTTGATACACCGTGGTTCTTCACCTATACTGAACTTAGACCCCTAGCAAAATTTGTAATTATAGCTTCTTCTTAGGGTTTATAGTAGCCAAAGATTAAAAAATACTTCTAAGTACCTCTAAGTCACATAGAAGAAGCCCCACTGCTTCAAGGCGGACTGCATCGTCGCCACGCTTTCTTCGGTCGGCGCGCTTAGATCCACGGTCGGCACTGACTTGAGCAGAGCGTCATCTGCGACGACAGCGGCAGCAAGTGACCACAAGACCAGCACGGGCTTCATCTCAGGCTCTGAAGCTCTTCAGCGAAGCAAGAAGCCAAAGCAACAATGGCACTGGCTATGCTGACTCGATGCGGGGCTGGCCAAGCAAAATCAAAGACAACACTGGACCTAGTACTCTGAGATGTACCAACATATTCTTGTGATTGCATATGCAGTGCTATGTTTACTCCAACAACTGTTGAGCCACAAAGGTGTGTGGTTTCAAAGTGCCGGTGCTCTTCGATCATGGAAGCACACAATCTGCACAAGCAAGCCAAACATGATCGAAATGAATGCTGGAAGGATGATGGATTTGCTCGGCTTGATCAACAAGATGTAGACGCAGCTGTTTTCTATTGTCCACACTCAGCTGTGCATCGAATTGTGGACTTCCAGCCCTGCTGATTATTGCTGATTTATGTTGAACGTTGTGACGCCCGGAGCCCTAAAGACCCGAACTCTAACCCCAAGACTCCCCAAGATTATACGTTGAAATAGCCGAAACGGTACTCAACCAAACTAAAATGCTCTGAGAACCCGTGTAACGGTGGACCCTACGAAGCTCTCCCAGCCCTACACCCCCAAACCCTACCTTGAAGCTCCTAAACCCTAAACCCTGAACCCTAAACCCTTAAAAACCCCTTAAAACCCAGGTTGAGAGCCGGGTGTGTGACGGTCCTCCGAAGGCTCGCAATCAGAACGCCTAAAGGATAACAAAAAACTCAACGTACACAAAGCATTAAATACCTCTAACACACAAAGGTTTAGGGGTGGGGATTTACGCTTAAGACAAGTTAGATTCGAACTAAACCGAAACTAGAAACTATCAAATGGACTGACTTGTTGAGCCTGCTTTAAATTGCAACCACCAATGCTGTGACCCCAATGCATGCTCTGACAAACTGTGCTACTGCCGCTGCTGCTGACGATTCTTCTACTAGTGGTAGTGCGGTTTTGGGGCATTTATGGGCTTTGGCTGAAGGCCGCACGGTATGTAAACGAAACTCGCCTCAATAGTGGACGCTTCCATGCGGACGGCCCCACAGAACCCTAAAACGGAAAGGGTGTCGGGTTGTGGGGCTTACTGTTCTTGCCAAGGACTGGTGGAAACAACAGTTGATGATGCTGGGCTGTTGGAAGGCTCAATTCAGTCTCAATGCAGGGGCCTTGGTGGTAAGACCTGGGGGTTGCTAACCAAGACATTCATGTCATGTAACACTGGGGTTTTGTATTGGCTAAGTATATTCGGTTAACTTACTTACAAGTTGCCTCTTCAGCTACCATGTGCTATCAAAAACTCATTGCACAAATTTGGGATGATGGCCCTCTGACAGCTTGACCTCAGTGTTGAAAAATATACCCTTAAAGCTGCGCCCTACAATCTAAGCCGTTAAACAATTCAAGGTTTGGGGGCGCGTCGCATGGCGTCACCGGCAGGCATTCTGAACGCGCTCTACCACCTCGGCAGCGAACTCCTGGCAAGGTGGTATAAAGTTTACCATGCGGGGATTTGGGTTCAGGGCCGTTCAGGGTTCATGTTCTGTCTATACACAAAGGTTGCTTTGAGTTCCATTCTTGTTTGTGTCTTTTTGTTCGCCGTTTCCGATGTATTTGGCCTAACCCTATAATTAGTGACCAAGGTACCAAAAAAGGAAACGTTCCCAGAGAAATAGGTTCAGGGATTTGGCCCCCCAGATTTCGGCCCCAATGTTCAGCATTTCAGCCTCAGCGTTCAGGGTTTCGGCCCATTTCAGCCTTTCGGCCTCTTCGGGTCTGATTTCCAATCATTCTCGGCCGGCCGAAAAGTAGCCCGAGCTGTTGCTGAAAATCAATTTTCTTCAGGGCTTTTGATGCAAGATCTAGTTTCCGATGGCGGTTTGGGGTTCTAAGCCGTAAAACCCAAACTTTCGGGCTCAGCAGTTGGAGGAACCAATCTGGGTTGCGATAGTGTCGGGTGGCACTTGGAACCACCCTGAAGTGCAAACCCTAGCCCCGGACAAAACTCCGACACCCTAAACTCAATCCTCTATAATCCTTAGCCCATAAACATCTCGCTCACTCTTTCTCTCTGTCTCTCTCGCGCTCTCTGTATCTTTCGCTCTCTCTGTCTCCCTATCCGTCTCTCTCTCTCTCTCTCACTCTCTCTCTCTCTCTCTATCTCTCTCTCTCTCTCTCTCTCTCCTTCTCTCTATGTTGTCCTCTGTCTCTCTCTCATAGAGATGTCGATATACACACAAGCACATGGATGTAGGTATGTATGTATGTATGTATTTATGTATGTATGTATGTATGCATCTATATAACATTACATATACGTATGTAAGCAAGCCCTGCAGGATTTAAGGTCACGCATGGTTCAGGGTTTTTCCACTCCGGAAGAACAACTGCAACAACTAGTATGGGCAGTTCTCCAAATTAGGGTCCCTTTGTTAGGTGCCCAGTATTAAACCCTAAACCCTACTTTCGAGAACCACCCTTATGTTATTCTTGAATCTGTGAGTGGAACCCTGCAAAGAACCCCTAAACTGAGTTTTTTTGGCTCCCTTGAAGCTTTACAGTTTAGGGTTTAGGGTTCAGGATTTTGGTTCTGCTGTTTGGAATTTTCAGTGTTGGGTTTGGTAGGCTCGGTCCTCCCAAGTGATCCAGCCACTCCGACTGGTGTTGATCTCCTGCAGCGAGCGCTCGAAGCACCGCTAAGATAATGAGGACTGTTTAGTAAGGAGCTCCAAACTAGTTTTGGTATTTATTTAGGCCACGACATTACCTAATGTTGCTTTGACTTACGTGTCGGGTTTGGGCCTAGTCAGGACATGCTGGATCGAGTGTCGGGGATGTAGGTTCTGGCTGGGGAGTGAGAGGGTCCGTCTAGGGTTTAGGCAGTTTAAGGCTTTTGTCTAAGGGTCCGTTTAGGAACTAGGGTTTTTTCCTGGAGGTTTTCAGGCTTTGGAATCTGCGGTTTGGGCTCTAGTTTTTGGGATCAGGAACATAGTTTGCTAATGTTTGCATCGAAGCCCCGGCCTAAGCTGCTCATCTTCTACGGGTTTTCTGGGAATCAAACTTACAATCCATAGCTCTATATTTGGGTGCGAAGGCTTAGGAATTCGAGTTACGCGTGTTGCTGTGCTACGGCTATGAAGGAGGTTAATGCTAGGTTTACCTATGCCTTGTTTAAAGAGGCTAAGTGGGGGAGCTAGGCACTGTCCAGGGATAGGCAGAACAGATAGGAGCCAGTTTGGGGGCGTTGGAGCTGGAACACCAGCGGAACACTCGCCGGTCTCAAAAACACTTCTCCTTCCCGGTGCACAGGTGTGTGATGAATGGACACCCCGACATCCTAAACCCCATTCCAGCATCAACACCTTTTGCTCGCAAGCCTGGGGTCACTGCAAGCCGTGCCTGTAAACCTACGAAGTAATAGGAAGTGGCCCTCGTTTTTCTATTAAGGTATAACCCCTAAAACTGTAGGCTTTCGGATCTCCACGTGGAGCCTAAGGTCTGGGTAATGGACAGACACGAATCGGAAATGTGCTGTTTGGGGTGCCAGGAAAGGCAGTCTTGTTGCCCATCAGCCAAACGAGCCCGTCTGAGACAGACAGGATGTTTTTCGGGGTTCCAATGCAATACAACTGTCTATCCTTGCTAAATAAGGTGCTTTGGGGACAACAGAGCCTACCTGAATCAGATTTGGTGTTTTCGGGGCCAAAGAAGGTGCTCTTGGCCCGCCGAGAAGTGGTTTTTAGTGCCTAAACCTATCTGGGGCAGGGCGTTTTGGGGCAGTATCTGGGTCCGACTGTGTGTTTGGGAGTGCCAGAAGGCATTGTCTGCTACTCACCCGCAAAAACGAGCCTATCTGAGCCAGATAGGCTGTTTTCGGTGTCTCAAAATGCCTATCTCTTGGGGGATGCTACAAAGGGCCCACCAGGTAAAGCAGACTATCTGAATCAGATAGGGTGTTTCTTGGGGTGTCCAGGATGCTAAACCCTCAAGCCGTGGATTCTCCACGCATGCTTTCGGGCACATAGACTGAAGCAAGTACCTCCAGTGCCAAGCACGGAAAGGTACATAGCGGGGCGTGGAGAAGGCAGCCGCCCCGAACCGAAAGCAAATTGCGCCCTCCTGCCCAACCAAGTCAGCACAACTCCAAGCATATCTCATACACTGCTGCTGAGGTGCTTCAAAAGTGGCATCCAGGTCATCCTGTCCACAACACATGTGAGGTTCGGGAATGTTGGGTTTAGGTTGGGTAACGCCCCAACCTTGTAACAGTCTACATTTTTAGGGGTCACATCAAGAGCTATATATAGTTATAGTATCCATAATGTTATCCAACTGCTGCCGAGTTGGTCCCGCGGCTCTAAATACTCACGGCTGCCTTAACATCGCCCGTCTAAAGCTCTTCAAGAGGTTGAGATAAGTTATCTAAAGCTCTATGGACTCATGGTTTCAAGGCTATTTAGCCTACTAATCATGCTATATGAAACTTCTGGACTGTCTTCGGACTGAAGGTTCGAGTTAGGGTTTAGGGTTTAGGGTTTAGATTTGAGAGTCTCAACACAGATAGCTACAGTAGAAAGTAGCCTTACCGCCTGCATCTTAAGCCGCAAACCCCAAGGACGCGATCATGAGCCTGCAGTGCTCGCTAGTCGGAATTGTAGGATCGGCCCCCCAATCTAAGCCCCAACCCTGACTTTAGATTACTTTAGATCCTAACGTTATCCTGCTGCCTTATGAGAAGACAGAACATGAAATAGGATTTAGGATTTAGAGTTTAAGGGTTTATCCCACAAAGTAAGGTAGAAGACCGCATAATTTGCAACATGGAGAACTCAACTATGACATGCCCCCCAACCCCTTTTTTAATCAATCAAACCGCTGTGTTGAACCCGTATGGTAACCCGCATAGCCCCTATATGCGTAGTTCTCTAGAGTAGGTCCCTTTTAAGTCCATTCTGGTAAGGGTGCCGAATTATTTTGGGGACTGCCCATATTGCTGATGCTCCGGGTCGATTGAGCTTTCGCAGCAGATATCTACACGACGAGCCTGGAACTGGCAGCAAACCGGTGTAAAGACTTGAGACAGCTAAGCTATAAGGACAAGAACCACATGACATCTATAGTATTCCAAAGAACTGCCAAAGAAACCTTTAGACACTACTTCACCTGTCAGGAGACGTGAGTTCACGTTACGTGTTCAAAGACTGTTGTATGCTTTTCAGAAGTGGGATGTCTTGGTTTGTTTACGGCTTGAGGTTTAAGATTCCTTACAGCTGCAGAATATCACTACACTATACCCCTGCAACACCACTTCTCATTACGAATAGAATATTTATTTGTACCCCCGAGCCTTCAGATGGACCCTAGGCCCCCCGAACACCCTTAGAAACTCCTAACGAAAACCTGTTCGAACCTTGTGAAACCCGTATAGTATAAAGCTTGAGAATACCGTACAAGAACAACAAACAGGCCTCGAACCTGAAAACCTCAAACACCCTGAACAAACACATAAAGGCACCCTCAACCCCTGATCCTCAAGCCCAAACTCTAATGTATGGGCCTTAACAGTTAGGGTCCAGGGGTATATTAAAAAATCATTATAACAAGGAGCCCCAAAAATAGTATAGGTAATTATTTAGGCTTCTATATTACTCAGACCCTAAACCAAGAGCTGCTTATCCAGACCTTAAAGCCCTAAACCCTAACCCCTAAACCCCTAAACCCCTAACCCCTAACCCCTAAACCCCTAAACCCTAAACCCCTAAACCCGTAAACCCTAAACCCGAATCAGGCCCTGAACAAAAAGCTGCTGTTACTGTTGATGCTATAAACCCTGCATTACATCCCAAACCCCCAAAAGGAACTAAAAAAAAATAGATCCCCTAAGGGGGTTCCTATAAAGTACCCTTTAGTCCTAATTAGGGGATCTATCTTGTAGATCCTTTGTGGGTCTGGGATTGAGGACCCTAAACTACGGGAACTATGGTATCTTCCTTATTATGGGAAATGCGGGATTTATATCATCAGCCGTAGTGCTTACTCCGTCCTCCTCGTTCTCGGGCGGCTGGTTGATGGCCTTCAAAAGATCCTTCCACCGGAAGTTGAAATGGTTTAGGGTCTTAGAAAGGGATTTAGGGTTTAGGGTTTGGGCTTTAGGCGATTTAGGGTTTAGGGTAGCACTAGATGGGATTCCATATACCTTACTCTTAAAGATTGAGGCTGTTGTATTTCCAAGTTCTGGGGCTTCTACTGTAGGCATGCTAAGGTTCAGGCTTGGGACCTTGATTTACAGTTGCCGAAATTGCATGATGAAGTTGCAGGCGCCTTGTTTCCATCACCTCTTTTAGGGCGAGTGTCCTGCACTGAGGCAACCAAGCAGAGGTAACCCAATTCAGCGTCCAGGCGGACCATTCATGGACTATGGGCCACATTGTAGTAGCGGATGGAAACGAGTTTATAAGCACTGTGTACCTATATAATGGGATTCTCGATACTAGACGATTGCGATGCAGCGAAGAGTGACTCACTATATAAGGCAACTGGCCTCCTAGTGTATAACCAGGGGGGTCCACATATTCTACGTACTACTATGGAATTAGGTCCCCAAAAACACAATGGGGTTGGTCTTTTGGAACCTAATGCCACAGTGCTAATTAGTATTTATGGACAGTCTGGGTAATGAAGCCCAATACATCCCCCCAACAAAAACCTGGATCTCCGCCAAAACACCAACCAAAATCCAGAACCTCGGAATCAGGGTTTAGGGTTAAGCGCTTAGCGGTAAAATAACCCTGAAGGGTGCAAGTACCTTAACTACTGATGTACTCTCCCAATTATTAACCTACATAACTACTATCCCCCAGCAAGAATGTCTGTTGGCCAACCTCGTGCGAACCTCACAACATGGCCACTTACAAATAGCCAGAAGCAGTGTTCCTCACATTTTGATGGATCAGATTCTTACCCTGAACCCTGAACACCAGCCTGTCGCCACACAGCCGGTGTAAACCCCAGTTGCAGTGCGCGTGAAGTTCAGCTGCCAAGCCCAATTAATTGGTCCTTTGGAATTTGGGGGGCCCGGAGTATTGCATATATGAATTCTGAAACGCGAGGCCCCCAGCCTGATCTCTCGATCTGAAACCCTACACCCAAAACCTTTAGCAATCGCTATGAAGCCTACTTCCAAAAGTCCTTGGCCTCAAAACCCCAACCCAACCCCAAACAAACCCTAAACCCAGGATGTCAAACCCCAAGCAAACGCCGGGCAAAGGGCCAGAAGTTGCCACTTGTCAATGCGGCCCTGGCACTGTGCGGGGCTGGGGTTGAGTGTCGCTAAAACCTGAACCCTAAACCCTATAAACCCTATAGTAGAAGCCAGAAACGTGGAACATCATTGTCCTCATGCCCTTAAAGTAAGATATAGGGAATCCCAGCACCGATCATCCTAAATCCATGTTCCAACTTTCGGGGATTCATTTTCACACCTTAAGGTTTCATGACTCTGAGGGTTTAAGTTACGGCGTCAGGGTGACGGGCTTAAGGCTTCATGCCAAACCTTGGGGTATAAACTGAAAGCTGTAGATTCACAGGCCGGAAAGCCATGTCTCTCAAGGCGCTCCAAAGGTAGTGGTGGCAGTAGTAGTAGTAGTCGTCGTCGTCGTAGTAGTAGTAGTAGTGGTAAGAGCAGGTTCAGTAGGAGTAAGAGAAGTAGTAGAAGTAGGGGTCGCGGTGCTGGCATCAGCAGAAGAAGTAGAGTACAGGTCGTTGTAATCACATGGTAGCACAAGGGTTCTGGATCGAGTTCCACAGGCGAGGACGTAGGCATGTTGCTGGAACGTTAGTTCCAGTGCCACATGGTGGCCTACCACAAAGATCAAGTAGCATCCAGCAGGCGAACATACATCACATCTTGCTGTACTCGCACAAGGGCAAAGGCAGATCCAGGTGAACATGTCGCCTAAACCAAGCGACACATGAAAGTTGTTCTGAAGGGCCTCCTCTATCATGCTGTTCCACGAATCCTGTAGCATGGCTGATGCATTTCGTAGCGAGATCTCCGTGGACAGCTGGAGGAACGACGTGCTGCACAAAAGGCCGCCAAATTTCAGACACCCTTCCCAAACCTGGAATGGGAACCTCAGACTGCAAGAAAGACTAGTATCGAGTAAACCCCAATCCGTACATGTATATTTCGCCCTACCTAAACCCTAAACCCCTCAACCCTTAAACCCTAAACCCCTGAGCCCCTAAACTTTAAACCCCTCAACCCTCTAAATCGTAAACCCCAAAAAAACCCTGAACCCCTGAACCCCCAAACCATGACGCCCACACCTAAGTCCTAAAACCCTAAACCCTAAACCCTAAATCCTAAACCCTAAACCCAAAGTCCTAAAACCCTAAACCCTAAACCCTAAATCCTAAACCCTAAACCCTAAGTCCTAAAACCCCTGAGCCTCCAAATCCCCAAAATTCCGGAAGCCGCCGGTGGCCTGGTGCGGCATGGCGTATCGGTCCCACAAGGAGCGCAGGACCTTCCCAGAACCCTAAGGGTTTAGGGTTTAGGGGTTTAGGGTTTAGGGTTGAGGGTTTAGGGGTTTAGGGTTTAGGGTTTAGGGTTGAGCGTAGGACCTTCCCACTCAAGAACAGCGGCTTATAGGGCTTAGGGCAGCTTAGGGCTTCGGCTTTTCTGTTGAGTTGGGTTGAGGGTTTAGGGCTTAGGGTTTAGGTTGGGGCTTAGGGGCCCTAAGAATTCATGTGCCTCCGTAGCTTAGGCGTTGACCTTAAACGGGCTCCTTTATGGTAACTTTACAGCGAAGGCATATGCGATGAAGGTACACGGTCCCCTTTAGATTTGGGAGTGGGGCTGATTCGGCTTCAGAGCTCCTGTCCTTGCTTATGAACTTAATCATAAGCCCTAAAGTAGAACCCTAAGGGTTTAGGGTTTAGGGGTTAGGGGTTAGGGTTTAGGGTTTAGGGTTTAGGGTTCAGGGTACCCATAGGCCCTAAAGTAGTTCCCTTTGGGGGTTCATATATAGAATCCTACAAGGTAAACCCCCAAAAGGAACTTCTATGGGGCTTATGGGTAATCAGGACTCCACAGTCGAGACTTGTCGCCAAGTCAAAACAGCTAAAAGACATCGGCATGTGTGACTGTGTTCGGGCACGGGATGTTGCCATGATTGGAAGTCCATTTCCCGGCTTTGCGGCTACATAGTTCTACGATTGCTTCATGACCTGGTGTTAACCTAATCATCGAAACTAGTGTTATCATCAGCATCTGCATCGCAACCATGACCATCTTTGCAACGGTCATCAGCATCAGCATGCCCCACGCCCTAGAAACATGTGAAGGCCCGTTTCGACGTGACCTGCACAAAGCATCGGAAGAAACGAGGAAACACTGAGTTCGAAGCTAAGAACACCAGAATATCTGGAAATCCCGAGACATCCTCGAATCACAAACCCCAGTAGTAAGCAGCGAGTCGACCGACTTCGAAACACAGAACAACAAACGTGAAGGAATCGGGGTGTTGGGATGACGGGGATATGGGTAGGGTTTAGGATACTTGGAGGCCCAAGGGACTTAGTAAGTAGTTGATAAGCAGACTTATAAGTACCCTAAATGGAGCTACCCCAATCATAACCTTTCATATAACCGACTTACTAAGTCCCCTTGGGCCTCCAAGTACGGTTGAAGATCTACGCACTGTCCTAAACCCTAAACCCCAAACCGCTAAACCCTATATATACCCTAAACCCTAAACTTGAGTCAAACGGTAGTTGAGGGTATCGTTGAAGAAAGTGTGATGGTTTGGGTGCTCAAGATGAGGGAGAACCCAGAGATTCCAATACCCCTTAATTAAGGAATATACCTTAAATCATAGTAGGATCCCTAATATGATTTACGGTATATTCCTTAATTAAGGGGTATTGGAGTCTCTGAGAAGAAATTATTTGCAAAGAATTCATCTAGGATTCAGGCTATGGGTGTGAAGTGTGCTTGTTTCACTTGGGTTTAGGGTTTTATGGGACAGTTCAGATAGACTTTAACCCTAAGCCCGAACGCCCTAAACTCTAAACTCCAAGCCCCTACACCCGAACCCCTAAACCCCCAAACCCCCAAACTCTAATCCTCTAAACCCCTGAAGTCTACCGGCAGGCGCCTCTTCCTCTTCGCGTGTGGGGCCCTGAAACGATCGTCGCCTGTCTCATTTCTGAGATCCGAGGCTTTCGCTGCAGACTTACTTGTCGAGTATCCTATACCCTGAGGGTCCATGTACCCAAATAGTATACACATTGGCCTTAAAGTAGTCCCTATCTAGGCACGTTGGGGCCAACGTATATACTATTTGGGCACATGGACCCATTAGGGCTATAGGGGAACTAAATGGTTAACCTTTTGGATCACTATTGTCATACGGCTTCTAGTCCCCCGAAGAGGTTAAAGCACGTCGGGTCACGATCGCGGTCCCAAGGTTAGCGGTCACCTGCCCTACTACACACTAAGCTGAAGTCTCCAGGGAATTGGGTTTAGGGTTGCAGGCTTTGAAGCTGAGCCCTAAACCTTGTTTAGGGCCTCGGAGTTTGGGCAAACCCTAAACCCTAAACCCCCACGCTTAGATTGTTTCATGGTTTGCAAAGTTTCTAGGGCGTTGGTTCGGAGCTCAAGGGTCGTTTGTTGGAGGCCTGCGATGATTTGAATTAAAGTTGTGGGGTCTAGTACGTAAAGTATAGGCAAATATAGTCTGGCACCCTATAGAGTCAAGTAGCTTGATTAGCATTGCATGATGTCGTTTGGGAGGAAGGCAAGAAGCAACAAAGACACAACCATAATAGCAGCCTAGAGCCACAACGGCAATCGAAGCAGCAATGCAAGCCATCCGACGTAAAGCGTGGCCCGCAGGGAACATGTACACACAAATCCACCGAGGACCTCCCAACACCCCCGAGGCTCAATGCATCGACGTGTCCAGTGCACAGTGCCGAGATGCCGCCTCGTTCCGACACATGCAAATTGCGCAGTCCGCTTGAAATCATAGACTTCCTGTGGCCACCACCACCGGTTTAGGGTTCAGGGTTTAGGGCTTAGGGTTTAGGGTTCAGGGTTTAGGGTTCAGGGTTTAGGGTTTAGGGTTTAGGGTTCAGAGTTTAGGGTTCAGGGTTTCGGTGCCATGCACTGAACAGGTACAAGCTGTCGCCATCTCCGGGGCCGCTGCAGACTGCGGATAAGCTGGTGACGGCGGATGGCGCTTCGATGTCGCAGCTCCGGCCAGCGAACTACAACAAGGGGTACCTTGTTTGGGGGTCCTTACAATAAGGATCCTACTAAATTTAGGGTACTATATTAAAAATTAGGTCCCCTATTTTCGGAAACCCCCAATTTAGGGGCTTATACCAATGACACTGCGAGTCCAAACAAGCTACGGAAGGTTCCTAAGACCTAAAGCTAGAGCCTAAACCTTAATCATGTCAATAAGGTTTCTCTAAGGGGTCCCTGCTTAAAGTGCCTGTGCCAGGGTGTAAGGGCTTAGTATAGGAGGGTTAAGGACCTAGAATAAGGCTCCTTTGAAGGATTTCGGGCCTTAACACCTAAAGCAGGCTTTCGATGGGGTTCGCTCCAATACACAAGGAGAATCCACAAAAGGATCCTACTACGAATCCTTCCGACCCCGATAGCATCTCAGTTTTAAGGACCTCAGGATGGAATTATCCAGGGGTTTAGGGTTTAGGGTTTAGGGTTTAGGGTCTACAACATTCTGGGAGCTCCCTTTCGCCTTTAAGAGGTCTGGCCTTACGGCGTTGCGCGAGGGTCGGGAGTAGTGTGGTAATCCCAGAGGGTCCGAGTACCCAAGTAAGGTTTTAGGTCCCAAAGCCCATACTCTGAATGGTTTTCGGACCTTGAAACCCTACTACTGGGGTACTTGGACCCTTAGGTAATATGAAAAGCCGCCATCACGGCCTGCAACGTTGAACCATCTGCTCGTAGATTTCCTGAATGCAGAGTGTAGGGTTCTTCAGCTACACAGCCTCGTATACATGTGTACAAGTAATATATACATATATATATATATATATGGTCGCCCCCCCCCGTTGACAGACCATGCCCTCTCAACTGAGTAGATGTGCATGGTGTGTCATCGGATGGGTGGCGATCAGCCCTCACAAACTCAATTCCAAAATTTCCAATATTCTCGCCCCTAACTTTCCGGATTTCCAAAAT